ATATCGGCCAAAATCCCAATATCGTGCATCCCTAGGATGAAGGGTTAAAGACAGTAAATAGTTTTTCTACATTCATCTCTGATCAGATTCTCTTGCTTCAGAGTCACCAGCAGAGTTGGTCAAACGATGCATCTTTGGAAAGTAAGTGCTGGTACCTGTGGAAGTGAGCCAGCAGATGAGATGCTGCACACGGCTGCAGATCCTTAAGGCTTCGAAGAGATTTCAGCAAATCTCCTTTCTGAATAACTTCCACCACCTTGCTGGACTGAGTCAGCTCTGCGGGGAAAAAAACAGAGACTTTATGTGAAAATAAACAAAAGAAAAAGCTTGAAGCTGCAGCGTTGTGGTGTCTGTACCTAGCATGGCCTCAGAGAAGGAGCTCATCATCTTGGGCTGCTGCCGGTAACAAAGCAGACACATTCTTCTCACTCGCTCCGTGTCCAGCAGGAAGAAGTAGCGACGCAGGAAAGTAGAGCCTCCCAGAACTTCCTGCTGGTTCCTGAAGCAGCTCAGCTCCATGTGAAGCGTAGCTAGCTCGCTGAGATTAGCTTCCAGATCCGTGGGTAGAGGAGTAGGAGGTGCCACTCGAACCGGCTCGGTTTGATCATCTAGTGAACTGATGTTTAACATCTGCGGTTTCTCACAGACCACTTCTTTTTCTTCTAGTTCTACCGCTTTGGCTTCTACTGTTAGACTTTCTGTTGGTTGTTGTTGATCTGTGCAGGGGCTTAGATAATCTCTCTCCCATTGCTCCTCGGATCCATCCAGGCTGGAATTGGTTACAGAAGCTGACAGGTTAGCAGGGCCCAAAGTTCGCTCCAACACCGGCAGCCACTCCATCAGCGTTTCTCTGAGGCAGACTGGATCAAGCACCGCCAAAGGATCGTGTATCTGGGAGCTGATGTCAGTGAAAACATGAAAAATTATAAATTGGTAAAATAAAAGTAAAAATTGTTTGATGCTAAATGCTGCGTTGGACTTACACGGCTCGCTCTGTTGCTGCACGCAGTTCCTCCATGGCAACCTCAGCGTTAGATACTTCATTATAAACGCTGTGAAGAAAAACATCATCTGTTAGCAAAGATGTTATTATCAGAGCTTTTAAATGTATTTATTAAAGACATCAAGTAATAATATAAGAGAGATCACTGCCTAAAAAAGCATATTTTTTCCTTTTTTAAATAAAAGGTAAAATGTTTTTTTACTGAATGTTGGAAAGATGATGACTCTGGTTCCGATATGTTGATCAGGCAGTCAGGGGAACCGTCACTGATGCATCCAAACTTTAAACTCTTACGCCGTTCACAGCAAAGGCGTTCTAGACGTCAACGACGCCGAAATGCAGAAATTTAGACGCTAGATCGACAACGGTCAAGTTGCTTTTATGCTCGGCCATCCGGTTGTTTGTCTGATCTGTAGCTTCAAGCTAGAGAGCAGTTTGGTTTTATTCATTTGTGGCGGATTTCCCGCCGCCGTTCCAAGTATTAGGGACAGGCTAAAAAAGTTTTTAATTTCTTTTTTATCTTGAGAATAAAGTCGCAACATTACGAGAATAAGTTGTAATATTACAAGAATAAAGTCGTCATATTACGAGAACCAAGTCATTGTACCGCAACCCGTTTCAGAAAGAAAGCTTCAAGCTCCGCCCAGAAGTCTAACTTCACATGATGCTCCACATTCCTCATTTTAGGGAAGAAAGGGATTCTAGGAAGAGTTGTCATGAAATATAACTTTATTCTCTTCATACTAGGGCTATACTCTCCTAATGTTATGACTTTATTCTCGTAAGGTTACGACTATTCTCTTTGCAAATCTATTCTCATAAATCTACGACTTTATTCTTGAAATAGAAAGAATACATCTCTAGCCTGGCCTTAATACTCCGTCGTACGAAGCAGCTGGAAGTGAACAGAAAGTTTTTAAGGTTTGGGGTAAAAACTGCAACTACCAGAATATATCATCAGCAGAATCTCTATTAATCTCCTATTTACAGTCAGCTGACTCATTTTGCGGGTTTTTTCCGGCGTCTCCGCCATTGCAGTTCCCAGATCTCCTCACCTGTTCACCATACAAACCTTTTTCTCAGCTTATTAAGAATAAACGGCATCAAAAGAGCGCAACGTGACCTGGGAGGATGCTGAGACCGGGAAGGATGCCGTCTTCGCCTGACATTCTGCAAACCACCAAATACCACTGATTTAAACATAAGTTCCTGAATGTTATGGGCACCAAAATGTTTGTTTGTATAATTCTCGCCTTGAGAGCTGTAGTATCGCGAACCACCATTAGGAGGCGAGGAACCGGCGAAGCGTGGCGTGTAAACGGTCGTAAGAACCAAGCTCTGCACGGCTAATCGATCAAAGCTCTGAACTCGGCGCGGATCGGATGGTTTCTGAGGGCTAGTGGAAATAGGCCAATCCATCTAATTATGGTTTATGGAAAGAATGAGAAATCATTGTCTGTGTCCGAACGTCCGCCCTAATCAGTGGTTCCGCCATTTTAGACGAGTGTCCAAACGTCTAGTGGTGGAAAAACTTGCGGACTTGAAATTTTCAACAATGCACCTGGAAAAGTAGTGATCCTCCATGATCACTAGAAGGGCGGATTTATCCCAGAATGCGGAAAGCTTTCCCAGAATGCTTTGCGAGGAGAGTTTGCCTCGCAAAGCATTATGGGATTTGCAGTGAAAGTCGCCCACTGCGACAGCGGTGACAAATAAAGATGGTGCAGGCTCCTTGCACGGAGGCGGAGTTACGTGACCAATGGAGCAAAAAGCAGCGATCATCTGTCGTAACGGTCAGTTAACTGAGTTCACTATAAAGATCACTATAGAGTCCCCGCTCTCTATAGTGATGGAGGGATTAGGAGGTCAGGACGGACAGACGGACGGACGGACGGACGCAGCCTCTGTTAACACTTTCCATCCCATCTAACAAACCATCTAACAACAGTTCAGACCGAAGGAGAACAAAGACCTCCTCCTAGATTCACAAAGATGGTAGAGATAAATCTACCGCTTGGTCTAATTTCAGCAAAGATGTTCTACGTAGTTTTGAATGTTTAATACATATTCTGTCCACATTTTTCAGATATTCTCTGTATAAGGTTAAAAAAAACCTAAAATAATATTTATTTAATGATTATTCACTAGTTCAGTGTTGGTTCCTCCAATAAGCTCCAAATAAAAACCCACTGAAGCCTTTGGCTGCAACGTTAAAACATTACAAAGCTTAAGGGTTAAGATGACCTTAGATCTTGACTTACTCATTCTCCATTTCCTCCGAGTACGACGGCGCGCCCGCTAACGCGTCGGGCTGGGAGCTCTCTTTAAACTCAGGCCGCTGGCGAAGCTCCGAGTTCATCTGCAGGGTGTTGATCTTCTCCGTCGTCTTCTTCACAAAACTGGAAACACTGATGAGAAGAAAAATCTTATGTTGTTGAGTAATTAAAATGTTAGAAAAATGACAGACAGACAAGAATCAGTGAATAAACGGGTCCACATGAAGAACGAATGACTGATGCTCAGACTGTAAGAGTTTTATTTTAACAGAATGAGGAAGCACAGCTGCACCATGGTTTCATTTCACACTAAAAATGGAGCATAAATGCAGATGGACTCTGGATTGTTGGTTTGGTTTTCATTCACCTGTCTTTGACGGCCTGCAAAGCCATGCGGGGGGGTTTGGAGCGGAAAGAGAGCGGCAGGTGGAACTGCAGGCCCTGGTCGGGTCGATCGGCGTCCGGGCGCTCGCCGCTCTGTGGATCTAAGCGAAGATGGGGGCAGGAGTGGGAGGAAAAACACAGATGGATGGAGTAGCTGGAGGGGAATGATCAGAGGACGTAATGCAAGCGGAGCGAGACCCAAAATCAAATATGGCGCAAAACAACAGAACCAAAGATGGAGACGAATGTGAGATGCGGTGAAACAGAGGAGACATTTCACGTAAACAATTTCACAGAAATCAGGCAGTTTTTGTTTTTTTTATTATTCATTTGTAGCTCATTTAAAAAGGGAAAACAGAAAAAGCAACAAAGATTGACAAAATATCAGTCCAAAGAGAACAAGAGTCAAGTTATAATCAGTTAGCAAAGATAAAACTTTTCTTTTTTGGTTTCTCTCTGTTGTTAAACTGAAAATAACTTCACTCTTTTTAAAGGCTGTAATCAGAGGCAGAAAAGAAATTTCTTCTTGCTTCAAACATTTTCATAAAGAGGAAACATGAAAAAAAGAGAAAAGTAACACGTAGAAAAGAAAAATGTCACTTTTTAGTATTTATTCAGATTCAACTTCTTAATGTTAATATAACTGTAAAAATCTCAGTCTGGAAAAAGAAAGGTTGTCTTTATTTATTTCAATTTAAACAGAAGTGCAAAGTCTAAAAGAAACAAAATAAGTGATTTTAATCAAACCATTAAAACAATATAAATGGATAACTTTTAGGGATGCACGATATTGGGATTTTGGCCGATATCCAATATGCCGATATTTTAAAACTCATG